AAATGAAAGGTGAATGTTCCATCTCTGCTGCTTTCATATAGAGTACCACACAATCAATAACAAAGAACAGAAAAAAACATCATTCTTCAAAGTATGGCTCATTCTCTTTGAACATTGACGGTATTGGGCTTGGAAGAAGTTTGATACGGCTCATGAATGAATCATCACACACTTAGATGTGACCATAGTAGCGGATGTAATGTGATGTTATCTCATCTTTTTAAGGAAAACGCAATGCCCCCTGGCCATTCAGGCCGTCTGTGATTGAAACTTTCATGTTAACGTGTGGGGTGGGTGTGCATCTCAAAAACAGAATTCACTAGCCTATCAATAATATACAGTTACCCCAATGGGAACATGTGACCTTAAATAAACAAACGTGAAAATGCTGGCGTGATTATGCAAACAAAAAGCAGATAGATTTATTGTTAACATGTTTACGTGTTTGTGCGCGTTAAACCTTTTGTCATGGAAAATCGAGGCTATAAATGCAAACTACGACTCGCAAGCCTTTTATGTGACAGTCTTTTGTCAAGCAAACCACACTTCAGACTTTGATTTGCATTATGGGGAAAAATCAAGTAACCATAATCAAACTAAAATAGTTTATTCCAATTTGCTTTTTTGAATCAAGGCATTTAGGGGCATGTAATGGATTCTGTTGTTTTGGTTAATTTTTTATTAGACAGTCGTCTTGCCGCTACATCCAATGGCAGTAATTCAACTCGCTCTCATTTGTCACAGTGGGGCGATTCTTCTCCGGAAAACATCATTACATTAGGCATTTATCTCTACAAACAGGGGAATTTATTAGCTTGAAAATGAAAATGACTGCAAGATATTTGTGCTCAGAACATACAGGAAATCCAAAGAATCTGGAAACTGTTTACAATTAAAAGTAGCTCCAATTATGATTATCATAAATTGTGTACATGTCTGAAATGCTAATGTATGTGTGATGTGTGCTGGGGTGTAAAGGGGGTTACGCACCAGCTGCATTGAATTATACTCTTGTCACCTCAGTTCCTGATAATATAGGAAGAAGTCAATGAGCGCTACACAAATGGCAAACAAACAAAATGCAAATAGCCTATAGGCCTATTTATGGCAAAGTTCAGAGAGCTCGGGAAAAAACCCCCCCAAAGCTTTATTATTATTTTGCCTGTTAAAAATTATTTAAACCAGCCTAAGATGGTTTAAGCTGGTCTCCCCCTGCTGAAAAAAATATCTAAAACTAGTCTAAGCTGGTTGGATGGTTTTAGCTGGTCTTCCAGCCTGGTCATAGCTGGTTTGCAGGCTGGTTTTAGAGGGGTTTTGACCACTTCTTTAGCTGGCCATGCTGGTCTTAGCTGTTCAAGCAGGGAGACCAACTGACCAATCAACTATAACCAGCTTAGCTGAGCCGGAAGACCAGCTAAAACCAGCAACTTCCAGCTTAAACCGACTACGACCAGCCAACTAGCTGTTTTTTTTTAGCCATCTTAGCCTAAAAATAGTACTAAAACCTTCTAAAAGTAGCCAATAGACCAATTTAATTTTAGGTTAAATAAGATGCAAGAAATCTAAGTGACAAAAAAAATGACATCGATATGTTATCCACCGTATTTTGCATCGCATTTCCTGTAAATGTGCAAGACTTCTGTTTCATTAGCTGCTTTAGTAAATAACTTGAAGAATGATGAAGTGCAGTAACCAGTAACCAAACCAATGTATTCATGATTATGATAAAATTTGCAATATCATGCAGCATAACAGGCTGCTTTTTGTACAGCTAAAATAACTGGAAGTGGATGACAGCCTACCGAAAGCACCAAATACATACACATAAGCTAGATAGTTTTTAAAAAAAGACTTATTTAAAAGAATGCTGTTAATATATAAATTATTATGAACTTAATTAACGCGTAAAATAATTATTACGTGCTGCCAAGCACAACCCAAGGGAAAGTATGCTACTGTTCTTTTACTGTTCAGTAGGCTCTGATACTGATTAGACAGATTGTTTATCTGGGACGTGAGAATCTGTTGAGATTTGCAATCAATATTGTTGCCCATTTTCAAGAAAATCTTTCAGTTCTTCTCGTGCACTTGTAACGGAACCAATCAAAGTTTTCATGCTCTATATACACCGCTTTCTATAGCTTATAAGAGTAAGACCTCGCCCTGAACTTTGAATACGTTACAAGTCTGCCCTCTACAGGAAAATATACCAAACTGCAAGCTCCTGCTTGCAAATACATTGTTTGACCAGAAGGTGTCAGCAGATACAAACACTTCATCATTCAGCGCTTTCATCCATTTTCTCCATGCCAATCGCATGATTAATAATTTTAGAAAAGACCTCACAGGAGAAAGAAATTAGGCTAATTTGTGTTAGAATAACTGTCAGACGCAGAAAGTAAATTATTATTGTAGGAACGGGCATATTAAGCGTGACAGTGATGAATGCCATTGTCAACACTAATTTTCTTGCCCAGACATGAAATGTGAGCTCCTATTCTCTTACTTGAGCACTCATCAAACAAAACTTTGGCAGAAATGCATTTCCCTTAGCTGTTAGTGCCATCTGTACAGCTCTTGCCAGCTCCTCTGTGGAAACACAAATAGAAGAGTTTCCAAACTTATTGTTTTTAAACTACAAGACTACCCTGAGAAAAAAAGGTTAGCCTAATTGTTTGTTTGTTTTGTTTTTGTAAATTAATTTACCACATTTTTCCAATGTACCATCCAATATAATTAATTTTAAATTAGCAATGAAATATCTGAGTTACTTTTTCAAATAAGTAATGCAAGTTACTTTGTTTTCCCATTCATTCACTGACACCTCTCCAGTCCCATGTTGAGAGAAATCGGAGGCACTTCATTCAGCCTGAGGCTTAATTTCATTTTTCGCTGCGAAAGAGCCTTTACAGTTGCCAAAAAAAAAATAACTTTGGGGTATTTTTGTTATTAAAAAATAAATAAGCAAGCCCAAATATAAATAATTTTAAATTAGCAATGAAATATCTGAGTTACTTTTTCAAATAATGCAAGTTACTTTGTTTTCCCATTCATTCACTGACACCTCTCCAGTCCCATGTTGAGAGAAATCGGAGGCACTTCATTCAGCCTGAGGCTTAATTTCATTTTTCGCTGCGAAAGAGCCTTTACAGTTGCCAAAAAAAAAATAACTTTGGGGTATTTTTGTTATTAAAAAATAAATAAGCAAGCCCAGTCCAGGTGACTAAAAGTAACGCAAAAGTAATATAATGCATTACTTTCCATGAAGAGTAACTAAACAACTCAATTAGTTACTTTTTATGGAGTAACACAATTCGTAATGCATTACTTTTAAAAGTAACTTTCCTTACACTGTAAAATAAACCATAGCAAATCCAATGCATGTCTAATGTGAAAATGTTTTTTTAACAGTAAGTATCAAAGTACTTTGTCTGGCTTAAACTGCAAAAACAGAACAATCACATATTAATACGCCAAAAAAGAAAGAAACTGCTGTGCATGTGAACTGTCAATGTTTTAGACCGTGTTGACGGTTATTACCACAGATCCGGATGACAGAAAGAGTATATCAGCTTATTTTCAGGCAGACGAGGAGGCAGAAAATAGGCACACCTATTGAATTCTATGGTGTACACAGAAACAATCACAATGGCACAGAAACCACACAAAGAAGGTTACTATACCATGCAAGATGTCTCAAATGACAATGACACCCGCTTTTAATGACATGATTGCTCGTGGTGGTAATCTGATAGCCTTTGAGATCTTTTCTAACAAAGTAACATTGTCCAGGAATTGTACTCAAATTATGCTATAGTGATGATAGCCAAAATGAAGAAGATGATGAACTATTTTGTTTCATTTCGCCTCCTTCAGGTTGTTTCCCATACATTTATTTTATTTTGGTGTCTTTACACTGCAAAAAAATGCCGTCTAAAACACAAAAAGACTATATAAATTTGTTTACATAGAAATTACCATTGAAAAAAAAACATAATTGTTATAACATGATATTATGAATTTATAAATATGAAAATGAATAAAAATATGACATTATATATAATTTATTGTGTAATAATACATCATCTGAACGTGACAGGTCTGCCTACCTCAACCATGTAAAGGCACCTTTGTGTTTCAGGTAGGCTATTTTTCTTTTTGGAATCAAATATCATCATGCAAATAAACCTCAATGTGTAATGCATGAGGACAATAACAATAATGCAGTTCTCACTCAAACTAAAACAGTTAGCCAGCCCCTAAGCAAGGCATTAAATTGGATACTTTTAGATGATCTCTAAAAGTTCACCATGGATTCTTTTCTAAAGCCACAGTGAAAGGCAGTTCCTCTTTATCCCTGCATGGGATATAGAGAGCAAGATAAAGGAAACATCAGTGAACTGATCCGTGAGGGAGATCATTATTTTCAGAATGACAAAATGGGGCACCGCCTTTAGATCTACTACTACACCTTGCTATATTGAGGAAAGAAGACTGGAAAAAATATTTTAGGTTACCAAAGCGTGTCTTAAAAGGACCGTTAACCCTGGAAAAAAAACGTCGTAATTTTCTCCTCTTCATGTTCTTACAAAAAATAACATTAGGGATTGAGTCACCATTCACTCGCGTTGTATCCTTCTTCTCCACACAATAACAATGAATGGTGACCGAATGTGACATTCTGCGTAATATCTCCAGTTTTGTCGCGCAAAAGAATTAACATTTTACAGATTTGGAACAACGTGAGAGTGGGAAAATAGTGACAGAATGTTCACCCTATCTCTTTAAATATCCGCGTCTAATTAAACCTACCAGATATGAAAACAATTGTTTATATAGGCTATGTCTTGATTTTCCTCTCCCATTCCTTACTCTGGGCAGTCCAGGTGTATGTGGTGGCCGTATTTCGTTTCCAGGTTGGGTTCAGTCAGTGTATTATTTGATCATATCGTTGTCTTTCCTCAGAGGCGCTGCTGATTGGGCGGATTAATTCGCGTGCATCTTGAAGCGGCGTGTGCACGCGCTCTTGCCTCTCACAGTCTCAGCGCGCGACATATGGGCACGCGAATTTAAACCGCAACAATATCAATACTGTCCAACGATCCGGATCCTCGTCCATATTCGCATCCCGTCCAGAAAACTTCGTGGGAACTTCGCAGGCATCATTTTAGGAATTACGAATTCTTTATTTCAAGCACGGAAGACAACAATAAACAGTAAACACAGTGTTTCATAAAGGGATTGCAATGTTTCCGACCAAGGCGATAATCTTGGTGCTTCTTTTCTTTGGCTGTGCAGGTAAGATCGCGTGCAAGTGTCATGCAATACTCGCACACGAAATATAAACAGTTATATAATGAAGAGCTAGGGCTTTGTGCATTTTTCTGATTTGCATGCTACTTTTATGGTCAGTGATGTAGTGTCGGTGGCAGGTGCATCTGTGGACCTGTTTGAATTCTGCTGTGCTCATTAATCAACACTGTTGCATAGAGTTTGTGAGAGGCAATGTGTTGTTTACAATACTGCATGCCAGATAACGTAAGTATCCTTATAATATAGCTTATAGGGACTGTTGTGAGCTAATTTGCTAGGCTAGATCCAGTGGGCTTTGACAATGGAACCTGTCCCTTAACTAGACAGGATTATCTGAGCTAATATTATAAGCAGCCCTTTATTTGTGCACTGAGTTAAAGCCTCTGTAAGATAGCAGAAGGATTCGAAAGAATCGCATTGATTTCCATTGATCCTCAGTAAATCCTTATGGGACAGTGGTGGGATGAATTTCTTGGCAATCCACCTGCTGCACGAGAAAGATCCAATCAGCGAGTTTGGGCGGGAACTGTCTATGATGTAATTAACCTGTTTTGTGTATTACCTCATATTAGGCAACGCGGAATCCCAACTAGCCTACATCGTAGCTATGAAGGGTGTTATCAAAGTCGTTTTATATAAATGTATGGCTGATTTACATTGCTTTTGTATGTAAATTAATCCATTTATTTGTGTTTATAAATGTTTGCACTTAACCATTTAACAAGTGCACTTGTCTAGAGTTTAAAAAAATATATGTAAAGTTTTTACAGAGCTTTATTTACACACAATCATTTAGATCATCAATACTGTGCACTTTGAACTTCTGAATGTTTGTTCAGTAGGTCGTATGTAACATGACACATTAAAGGGGTCATATGATGCTGCTAAAAAGAACATTATTTTGTGTATTTGGTGTAATGAAATGTGTTTATGCGATTTAAGGTTCAAAAAACACATTATTTTCCACATACTGTACATTGTTTCTCCTCTATGCCCCGCCTTTCTGAAACGCGTCGATTTTTACAAAACTAATCGGTCTGAAAAGCGAGGTGTGCTCTGATTAGCCAGCTATCCAGTGCGTTATGATTGGCCGAATACCTCAAGCGTGTGACGGAAATGTTACGTCCCTTACCATACTGTGATGCCTGCGGCAACCAAGCCTTTCTTTGCGTGAACATTTGGACGGCGTTATGGTAATATTTCCACATAGTGAGGTAGATATGTGGGGGCGTGTTCGAACGAGCCGTTTTAGGTAGGTGTGGCTAACTCTTAACTTTTATAAAGAATATCTCTTTGGATTTGAGACTTTAGTCTTTGCAACTTTACAGATCTTCTTTATGCACCAAGAGCTTGTAACACTCCAAAGAGAAAGGAAAACTTGAAATCGCATCATATGACCCCTTTAACATTAATTGTGATTCTTTTAATTAGGTAACAAAAAGCAGTTGCAAACTTTAAAATGTTGTGCACCAATAAAATGAGCAAACACTTATTACTTATTTATTACCAAATCACATGTAATAGCAATTAATTTAACAAAGACTGGAAAGTTTAACTTAATATCTTGCGATTTCGGGTCACATGTGTTCCTGATCATGATGAATGATTGGATACGCTTAGACTTAAATACTGGGTCGATGCTGTTTTAGAGATACTGTGGACTCCGTGTGCCTTAAGGGCAACTGAGTTTTGCCATCAGACTTGGGACAGTCCTACACATTTACTTCCTGTGTGGCGTGCATGTGCTCACAAGTGGCCAAGACCACACAACCCTCTACATTGCGAGTAAATCACTCGCATATGCGACTAAATCTTACTCTGGGTGACTAAATAACGTCTAACATTAGCCATTGGCTAATAAATTCTTAGATTTTACAGGCCAGTATGTGTGTGAGAGGCGTTCAACACAGGTTTTCACTCGATAAACACGCTGACTGAGCGCTTGAGAGTTTCACTCTCCGTCAAGCGATCTGTACTATTTGGATGCGCTCAATGGATCATGTCATGTACTCAATGGATACGCAGTATGTAGCAGCAGCGCACCTGTATTTGACGTACCGTAAACTAGTGTGAAGGCGCACGACTCGCCGTCGCTTTACTGATAGCGCTGTGTTTCTCACACATGCAAAGAGAGAGAGCGAGAGTCTTGCATACCACGCTGAATCGACGCGCTACATGTAAACCATATTCTTTGTTGTATTTTCCTGTCAAAATAACAGAGTTCATTTAGAATTATTCAGCTTTTAAGAACAAGCAGAAGATATGCCGGTTTCTCGGCAGTGGGCGGAGCTAATACGCGAACAACTCTCGTTGTCTGGCGCTCATCTATTACCGTCCCTGTTTTGATTTCAGCAAATCAGTTCGAGCGAACGCTGACAACGTGATTAATATTCATGAACCCAGCAGATAATAATAGTAGTAGTAGTAGTAGGCCTAGTATCTTTTAATAATAATTACTATTACCTATGACCAACAATATCTTAAACACCACCACCAGTCCTAAGTTCAGTTAAAATGACAAATATGCATTCATTCATGGTTACCAAGTTTTAGTTCTAATCACTAGTTCTATCATTAAATAGTGCTTAATTATCATAATATAATGCTTGATTGGCTGAAGTTAAGAGTGCACATTCAGTTATTTAAGAAGCTGTTCCATTTTACAAAGATAAGCTGATTGGGTGGAATCATGTGTGTGTGTGTGTGTGTGTGTGTGTATGTACCTACTTAATCATATTTTGGGGACAAATTTGTACCCAAAAGTGAGCAAAACCTGACAAAATCGGCAAAAACCAAAAAAAAAATTTGTGGATGTCCTCATTTGTAAAACTGTTATAAAAATAAACAAAGTTTTTTTTTACTTTTGAAATTTGAAATTGTAAAAATGCAGAAAGTTTTCTGTGAGGGGTAGGGGTGGGTTTAGGTTAAAAAGTGTATAACTATCTGTATATAAAAACAATAAAAGTATATGTAATGTCCCCATTTAGCTAAGTAAACATGTGTGTGTGTGTGTGTGTGTAAGATAGTATATCAGTCTGGCGAGTAAACAAAAAAATTTACTAGCCAATGGCGATTATATTGCCAAGTTGTGCGTAGAGGGTTGCCACAAGTGTGGGTATTGGGACAGACCCTAATTTTCCATGGATTCCCTTATGGAATTTCCTGTGGGCTTTTAGCATTTTGAATTTATGAGTGAAATAAAATCAGTGGCTAACATTACTTAAAGAGACTTCCTTATTGTGTTCTACCATATAAATTGTTTTATTTCTTAAAGGTGAATTTTGAAGCCACTGTGTTGTTTCTACAAAAAATAAGTCACTACTAAAACTTGTCTCTGATTTGTCAAGCATGTAAACTCATTCCTTGTAGCTGTAGTCCTTAAGTAGCAACTTTTTAACAAGTTATGTTTAACTGATTTGAAAATTTATGTTTGATGTGTAACGGTAATTTATGGTGTAGAAGAAAACATGAAAGTCTCTTAAAGTAATGTGAAACTTTTTTTATTCATATACCAATACACTCTCTTGGCTTTTAGGATAGCAGCTGTATTGATGAAACACTTAAAGGTTGAAGATGTGGTCACATTAGCAAAACCTTTAGCAAAAAATTTGCGGCCAAAGTTGGCCCATTGTCAATAGTGTGGAGAAGCATCTCTTACTCACTTAAAAATCAAGTAGCTTTATATTGGTCAGCGTGTCAGATTCCCATGTTCAGAGTTAACCAAACTTAAATACGATGCGAAATTTGTGTGTGGACATGTTTTGCCTCACGCGTCCCTCGCGTAAAATTGAGATGACTGCATTATGCCCAAAGAATTTCACCAAGCAACAGTAAATGTTACGCACATTTAGTTCACCTAAAAATGAAAATTCTGTCATCAATTACTTGCGTTCATGTCATTCCAAACCCATAAAACGTGTTTGAAATACAGATGAAGACATTTTTAATGAAACCTGTAAGAATTCTGTACCTTCATTGATACAGTTGCTTTACACAATGAACATGTAATTTAGGGTTTTATTCATATATGAACATTGATCATACATAAGGGTTAATCAAATATGATAATTGCAAACGTTCCTGCTTGACGTGCGAGATCAAACCTCATTAGCTATCTCAATCCAAAACATATTTTCATTAACCTGTGCCTTTATGTATTCCCGAACAAAACTTCAGAGTATGCACAGTTCACCAGTCACTTCTTTCAGAACTGGAGAAAACCACTGCTATAATGCCACTGGAGCTACTGTGAATATATTTGGAATTTTTGTCTTGTTGACATAACTAAACGGAAAGCTGACAAATGTGTTAGAATATGTCTTATGAATGTTTTAGCAGATTTTTTGTATATATTCAGTCTCCTCCACTAACCAGTTCGTAAGAACACTGCTTTTTTTTTAACCTGATTAAGAAGATAAGATATTCCGGCATTTACATGCTTATTTTTTTTCCTATTAATCTGATTGTTTCAGGTAGGGTTGGGCCTATAGACGATGCCATCGTCCATAGCCGATGGCTGATAGACATCACGATGTTGAGCCGGCATCGTGACCCCTTATAAGGATTCACGCTTCGTGCACACCTCCTAACTCCACCCCCGCTCACCCCCGCCCCCGCCGATGTCATCGTCCATCGCGATGTTTCACTGTAGACATCGTCCGATGCCAATTTTGTAGACATCGCCCAACCCTAATTTCAGGTCTACACCAACCATTTCTATCTGATCTAAATTTCATTCAGATCGAACTCAGTCGGATTGATTTAGGTGTTTACATGAAGGCTTTTCAATCCAATTGAGCCATCAATCTGATCACTAATGGATTGGGTGGATGTAAACATAGTGAGATTGTGTCTCTTAAGAAGACTTGGATTGCTTGATTCATATAGATCTTTACTTTTAAATGCATGAAAGTTTAAGGTTGTGTGGATTTCAGCAGATAGACAAAGAGGATGAAAGAATAAAAATATCATTGTTTGTGTTTCGA